AGCTAAGGCCACACTACCAGCAAACACCAGCTAAGGCCACACTAACAGCAAACACCAGCTAAGGCCACACTAACAGCAAACACCAGCTAAGGCCACACTAACAGCAAACACCAGCCTAAACAAGGCCACACTAACAGCAAACACCAGCTAAGAGTAGCCGACGCGAACAGCAAAGGATAGAATGTAGCTCACGCAAGTCCACATGTTTTTCTATTAGCGCGATAGCCCACGTTGCTTCTTTCTCACTGAGTATCTCCAGTATTATAGTTGTCGTTCGTTATAGGGGTCTCCATATAGTTGTAGTCGTTATGGGGTCTCCATAATAGTTGTAGTTAGTTATGGGGTCTCCATAATAGTTGTAATGCGCCCACTACACTTTCCGCGCTGCCTTCAGGCGTCATGCTGCGACAGACTCTCCGTCGCAAGTGCATTTCGTCTTCTTCTCCTCTTTCTCGAGACAATCTGAAAGATTCGATCAAACATTGTCGCGTTTATGTCCTACCCCTCTCCATCTCCACACTCTCCTCTCTACTCACATCCACCTCACAAGGACACTCCGCGGACGCGCAGTGGGTGGGCGGAGCGTGACGTCACGAGCGTTGACGGCGTCACGTCGACGTGCACTTACAAGTGACATCCTCATGCAGCTGGAGTCGAATTCGGTGTCGCAAATCGGCGTAGCTATTAGCCAACACGAAGCTTAACTGCTGCGAGAAAGAGCCCACGTCGTAATCACAGTACCCGCGCCTATATAGGGACTGCATGGCGATCGTTGGCAGTTAGCCTAATTTAAAGTTGCAATAGCCCGATTAGCAGCGTCGGGGCGTAATCCTGTTTGCGCATCACGTAGAGTGAATAGCTTTAATTGTCGTCTAGTTCCGAGATATACGGACCACGTAAACGTGCAGCACACTCGAGAGCGTATTAGAGTGCGCGTGGATGCGCGGCAATATATAATGTTAGTCCTTAATTCCATCTTGCCGATGTTGTTGATTACATACAGGTGACAATGACGTAATGGTGGCTGAGTACATTACGAACCGGTAGTGCAAAGACCAGACGTATATGAATACGACAAATAATTGCTAGGAATTGGTAATTAATTAGAACTTACTGTCGCCCGAATGTAATCATTCTCGCACGCTCACGAGCGCTAGAAGCAGGTTCTGGTTTAGTAAGCGATAGATCCTCGTATTCGAACGTATACGGGTTGGCTTGAAATTGTAGAGGTCGTCGCTAAATCGCATAGAAACATATTTGACGTGCGGTCCACCGAGGGTGTGTACACTACTTCACACAGCAAACGTAAAGTTTACCAGGAGGAAAACATCAGAAATTCGGGAACATCAAATATTCTGTTTAGTGGTGAGTGCTGTTGAGCACTCACGCGCGCCCAGAACCGAACCGAAACCAACTCGGATCCGCCGACAGAATCCGAACTCGATTCAGAAACTCTCTAAAGTCCCTACGATAAAATAGTGGCCTTTAACACGTTATATGCAATGCGTATGTTGAGGTTAGTCGTGTATTCACTTAAATATATCACATGAGTCTCATGTAGGTAAGCATGTCGCATTACTTAAACCTTCCCGACAATTTCTTACGAAAATTAATCCGAATCTCTATTCTCGATGTTTCTACGGATTAATGCCCGGAAACACTGACGAGTTCGATAAGTATGTATCCATGTTTGTTTCACACATGTTAACGCTAGAAGGAGGGCCGCGTTTACGTTTTGAAAAAAATCCCTACTAAATAGAAACGGCACGGAAATTCCGTATCACGAGTTACGGTGTCCAATATCATCATGGCCACGCAACAACTGCTGTTGAGATGGGGTTATTTGCGTCTAAAAAAATATCGTCTAAAAATCGAATTTGATCGTACAAATGTACAAAACACGGATTGTTAGCGTTTAAAGTCGGCGCGTAGTTGGGAAGAAAGTATCCAGTTTTGCAATGAATAACTAATAACTGTGCGTGCGTGTGTGGGTGGGGATTGGGTAGACGTGCCTATACGTGCATGCGTCTACGCGTCCGGCAATATGCGCATGCAACCGTTATTGCGGGGATAATCGCCGGTATTTACGGGGTAACGTAGCGAGCGCTGTATTTACAATTTCACGATAAAAGTCCGAAATGTTCTCTTTTTTTACTAATACATTCGCGCAAAAAGCTACGCTAGCGTGTAGCGCCTGATAGTATAATACGAGCCCGCCGGATGCAAGTTTTTAAACCGTAGGATGGCGACTGAAGATTGATAAATTATTCATGACATCACACATGGTTCGCGTTTCTGATTTGTGCCAAGTAATCATTCACTTCACTCAAGACCACTTCAGTCACGAGCCCAAAACGATATCCCTAACCCTAACCCTAACCATAACCCAACCCTAACACTAACTCTAAACCGACTCGGCTATCTTATATACGCGGGCCATAGTACCAAATTAATCTATGGTGTGGGAAAGCGACGCATACCACGCTGCGCGACTGCTCGGACGAATAGCGCATGCGAACACTTACAGGTGTCCGATGCTCGGACGAATATCCACGACATTCCACTCAATTCAGCATGAGAATGTTGCGTTATGTTGGTTTTACATCAAATATAGTGAAATGTAATGTAAAGAACCGACCGGCAACGAATCAGACACGCGAACCATGTGTGATGTCATGAATAATTTATCAATCTTCAGTCGCCATCCTACGGTTTAAAAACTCGCCCGCCGGATATGTTTAAATAGAGAGTACTACATTATTCCGCTTTTTATTACTTGAGCAATTTAAGAAGTCATTCCTCTCGTTGCACACCCCACCCCCGTAGCGGTTAGTTATGCTGGCTATATAGATGTCTCATTGTTTTACTGCTCTCACATTTTTTCTCGTTTCATGATCATCACGTAGCTGGCGGACATTCAGTGCGTTCACTGGTTAGATTTTATTCCGGATCTAGATGCTTCCTCTTTTACTCTATTATTTCTCGTCGTATTCAATAATATCAAAATATCTTTATTACTAAAATACTAAAATATACTAAAAAAAATACTAAAATATTTTTTTTTCTAATTTCACGAAAAACAACAGGGGGACGATGGACACAGCGCTCCGCTGCTGCATGTGGGTCGGGGTGGCGCTGCTGATGCTCATCACGGTGACGTCAGCACTCGATCCGGCCCTCAGGGAGAAACTTCGCATGCGTCACCAGAACAACATACAGGAATCATGCGGGGTCATCTCAAAGTTACAGCTCACCCTTCTCGACAGAGTGTGCGAAGATTGCCATATGATGTTTCGGATACAGAATCTCCACAGTCTATGCAGGTCGGTGTATCTCTACTCGCACTCCTTTTACACTACTCTACTCTCTTACCTACTACTTTAGTCCCCACGCACTTTACTACCTATCGGGTTGTTGCGCCAATCGAGACGGCGCCTTATTCTTTCCGTATAACTAACTATATATTGCACCCAGTTCGCGGTTAAGAAAGATTTCGATTTAATGCCAATCCAAGCCATGTTTTCTGTTATATATACTGGGCTATATATGCAACTGTTATTATTAGCATATAGTGAAGCCAATGGATATTAGTTTAATGGAATTGTTAGCTTGATATCTTGAAAAAGAATTGCGATATTTATATCAATCTATCTATATCTATATCTATCTATCTATCTATCTATCTATCTATCTATCTATCTATCTATCTATCTATCTATCTATCTATCTATCTATCTATCTATCTATCTATCTATCTATCTATCTATCTATCTCTGAGGTGAAATGCTCGTTATCGGCTGCACCTATAGCTGCATGCATGGCGGTGTAATGGCGTGTGGACGTGTGGGCGTGCTGAAGGGGCGGGCATGTGTGTGTGTTGCGCGTGCGTGCGTGCGTGGCGTGTGTGTGTGTGTGTGTGTGTGGGCGTACGTGCGTGCGGCATGCGTGGCGTGGCGTGCGTGACGTGCCGGGCGTGCGTGCGTGCGTAATGCGTGCGCCTGCGTAGGCGCGCAGCGCGTGTGTGGCGTGCCAGTGGTGT